GGGCGGCCGCGGTTTTCGCCGCGTCTCCTCTATAAATAGAGGCGCAAACAGCCGCGTGCCGTTACTGCGGGCCCGGCCTCGCTACGCGGCTGCCCCTCGAGGCCACAACGAACTCTGATTTTTTTTTTAAGAGTACAGGGGAGATAATGTTCTTTTCACTAGGAAATGCAAAGTGATATTTTCCTAAAATAAATTGTTCTTTCCAGTTTTTCATAAAAATCTGGAAATTCTGTTCTAATGTCTGAGATGCCTAAAGCAGATAATTAATTTTCATTATTTCAGCATATTTCACTAAAATAATAAGTGTTACTTCCTCCTCCACATCATCCAGATTCCTCCAGATGCAAATTACTACTATGGTGACACATATGTTGCTTTTTTTTTTTTTTTTTTTGCTTTAAAACTGTTCTAGTTTGATTTCTTAAAGGATAGAAAACCACATAGCTGCCAAGTTTACATAATTGCTTGAGCAGTAATGAATATCACACTTACTTTGTTATTTTACTTAACACTTATAACCTCTTTATTTATACATGGAGTTCTGTTTTCCACATTGCAGTACAGTCGCTCAGATCTGTTTGATAAAAAAATCAAGATCCTGGCTGCCTTTAAAATAACCTATCAAATGTACTAAACAAAATACATTTCCCATCAACATGGGACAGTCACTTATATTCAAGACTATGTGTCATTTCCAGATATTTTAGCACAAAATTCTAGGTATAACTGCTCTGGAATTTTTTTGTTTGTTTTTTCTTTTTAGTCACTAAAAAAACTAGAAGATTTGAAGCACTTAGAACTTTCTAATTGCAATATCACAAACTATATATTCATGTTAACGCTTTTTTAGTATATATGGAAAAGAAGCAAACCAGTGCTTAATTAACTTGATGTTACCTTCTGAAGCTAAGCAGAAATTAAGATATATGCACAGTCTGAGATAGTTCTCACTACATACTACTGCAGATAGAGAATTAAGGAAAACCTACACAGTAAAAAGTATTAAGACTTCGAAAAGCATCATAAAATTTTAAATTCCTCTTAATAGGATTTCCTTTTTATTGCAATATATATGTCAGACAATAAAGCATGTTCCTTAAGAGGAACAAGTCAGCCAGAGAATGAAGAGCCTGTGCTGTCAACTGAGCAATGATCAATCTGAAGAACAGAAGTAATTCCAAAGGGATTACATAGATTTAAATGATTAAATTGATATCAGGCCTTCAGAGAGATGTGGTTTAATATCAAAAAGCAGTTCTAATTACCAGGTTCAGGTCCAAGTAAGTCGGATTTATTTCATCATAGCCTTCTCCTAAAGTAGTTCTTGCTGAAAGAAGTCATCTAGTTTCTCATATACTGTCTGTAAAGAGCAATATAACAACACTACAGGATCAAAAAGACAACAAAAAAGATGCCAAGTAAAGTGTGTAAGGTTTCAAAATCCCACGCCCCTTGCCTAACTTAAGTAAGTAGCAAAGCATGGAGCACAGGCAGCTTTACTTTATATAGGTTGAGGTACAAATTGGTTGGGATGAGTAATTGCCAGACACCACAAACACACCATTCAGCAAAATATTCTGCTACTAGCATAAAAAGAAAAACTATCTGTAGGGCACGTTCCTAAAATGAGGGTAGAAAACAAACAAACCAAAAATACAATACTATGCCCAATGTAAAGCTGGGTTAATTTTTTGTGCAGATTATTGTACCATGTATATATTTTTGGAGTTACTGTCACCAGCAGGAGTCAATCCTTAATTTAAAATTAGACGTATAAAAGTCCTGTTCTTGAGATTTTACATTGTTTTCTATGTCCATATTGAGAATAACTTTATGACTTAAAAAAACACAAAAGATTTACCTAAGTTTGATTTTTTTTCTAAATACCTAACAAAACATACCTTTAAGTAGAAAACCTCTCTAATCTATAATACATTCAGTTTCTATTCTTATGAAGTAACTGCATTTCAATTCCTATTCCTTCAATTCCTACTAACTGCAGTTGTTTACAGCAGTTTACATTTGTACTTGCAGTTCACTGTTATTTTACAGGTGAATATATGAAGCTAAGATTTCATTTTTTAGTTGCTTGGGGAAAAAAATGTTAGGTTTCTAATGCATCCACCAAACCTTGCTTTCATTTTTTCCATAATGAATTATATACTTGACAGGTGAAGAAGGAGGGAGTAAAACAGATTTTGTTTCAACTATGATAAACTTAGCAGCCAGCAATCTCTGGCATAAGTAAGGCCACCAGCTCATTCTTACACTCAGGTTACCTGTAATACTAGTTACTTTAATACACAGTACAACCCCGAGTATTTTTGGGGGGCTGGGGGGGGGAGGGAGGACAAAAATAAGTAAAATTATATTCACTACCTATTAGCAATGTAGCAGTTCCAGTATCTTAGCAGTAATATTAAACATTTCATTGTAACTGTAAAATAAAATGTAAGCAGTTAATATGTGAAAGCCACACGGCTTTCCAAAAAAACGTTTAAAAAACACAAAATCAATCCTCACCGTAACCACCTTGAGGATCTCAGAGACTAGAAAAGCAAAGCTACAACACACCATTTCTTGGAACAACTGCTGCATTTTTTAGGTATTAAATCTAAGACTCTTCTTTTTCTATCTGCAGCTCATGAGGGATGGTTAGTTTTGTTATTTGGGTTGCTACTGATTCTCAAATTTGTTGTGCAGACAAAATAGCTCATGTGCTCAGGCATAGCACAGAGCTCAGGCAAACAAATGTAACTCAGTAAAAACATGGTGTGTTCAGCAAGGAGATCAGCGGGTGTCCTCCCGCTGGAGACCCTTCTCCGTCCCTGTCCCTCCACAGGCCTCTGCCTGCCCTCTCCAGAGCGGGATGCGTGGGGACGGAACCGTGCCACAAGCAGCAGCATTGGAAAGGCTTCGTTTGCCTCTTAATTACTAGCTGAATACCCCTATCTCCAAATCTCAAATATTTTATTTGCCTGTTAATTACTTGTTGAATGCTGCTACCAGTTAATCTTTTAAATTCTGTAAGCTGAGACTCCTGCATTGTTTCTTTAAAAAAAAAAAAAAAAAAAGGTAAAATAAGATCAATGTTAGGCTTTGGGCCCATTTAGTGCAACCGTATAACAACCTCTGCTGCGATTTCAGCTATCCTCCTATCGAGCGCCATTTAACAGCACACATGGCCTTGTGGAGTGTGTGCGTGCATAGGATAAAATTGCTTATACTGAAACGGCAAAACCTTAAGACTGATGAGCTTTGATATCTCCTAATTTTGCATCTTCTGGTCTGTGCAGAAATTGCCTTTGCGGTGCCGCGTTTTCCCTGTTTGCACGGCACAGCCTCCTGGAGACGCTGCCCGCCCCACAGCTCCCAAACCTGCGGTGCAC